TCAGTTCTAGTTTAAATCTGGGACTCTCCACCATTTGACCCTAGAACTGAAGAAGCTTCTCGGATGAGAGGTGAAACGTCTTCAAGCAACTTAAAATCCAGACACTTTTCTTTCCAAGCTCCTTAGACTTCCTAAGGGACAATTTACCAAATATTAATAGGGTGTATTTGAGTCTGTATGCATACTTTTAAATCTAACATTTGATTGTTTTTTTTAAGTCATTAAAGACGTGTGCTGTACAATCATTCCACCTTGAAAAGAGAAATGTTCAAATAAATCATTAAAAGCCTCAAATTGTCATAAAATTCATGTCCATGATGAATGTATGAAAACTTCTGACCTCCACATTTACAATGTGGCTGTAATACTACATACTGTTGTATGACATACAACATAACCCAATTTCCTGCAGGGTCAACCTTCAGGATCAATAAAGTTTTATTGAATTGAAATTGAACAACATTTCTATGTACTTTAATTGTAACTCATTATGTATTTGTGCTGAATGCAAAAAAACGTACGAATGAATTGAGAGTTACAGCTGTAGACCTTATTAGCTGGATGACAATATTAAATGTGGCACTTTGCTTGGGTTAAACCACAGAAAGAAATAAAACAACAGTTTATACTTACCCTCACCAGAATCCCACATTCATTTATAATGCTGTTGATGCCACCATAGAGGACACTGGTAAAGCAGAAAGGAGGACCTGCTTCACACACAGTAATAATGAATAGAGGGAGGCTTGGCCACTGGAAAAGACTGGACACTGAATGTTTACACACCCACTCACCACCCACTAATACATCATGTCTCTTTCTGGTTTTTCTTCCAAACACTGTCCTCTCAGTTAGAATTGGATTCACATATATTCAAAGTCATATATCACAACGCCCACTAACTTTATTAAAACCCAGTGAATGACTTTGCGTTATGCAACATTACATATTTTGTCTTCAGTACCAATCCGGTATGTTTTAATAACAGTGAGTACTTTTCTAAGTAGACAAGCCACCTCTAATCATATTAATATTGTATTGTGACATCAAAAACATATTTTTTTAATCACGACTGTTAATGTCACCGTAATTTGGCAAGCTAACAGTATTCAACAAGCCCAAGAAAGCAAAACATACTGCTAAAAAGTTTGCCTGGTTATAATGGGGTACTTCACAGTAGCTTAATTTTGCAGCATCTTACCATACTGAAGTTAGCCGATCAATACTTATATTATTATAGGACTTAACAAATGAACGACTTAGCTAGCATAAAGCTTCCACAAAAAAAAGCGTATTTTAATAAAACAAACAAACAAGCAAACAAACTTCCAGCTCTCTACTGCCCCCAGAGGTGTGCCCCTGTGCTTAAAGACAGCGTGAAGTTACTGTCCAACGTTGTTTCCAAACATCGCGAGAATGAGCGAGAAAAACGCTGAAATTCAAGTTGGGGGAGATTTGTTTTCCTTTTGACAGTGAAAGATACAAAGACAACAGAAAAATAAATAAAACGTGGTAGCAATTCTTAAAACTCCTGCAGTATTTATATATTTAATAAATTACTGAACAAAACATAATCTCTACAGGGTGAGTTAGTGTTTACAGCTGTTTTAAAATTACATGAATCCCCGAGGAATATGAAGTACCCGAAAAAAAGCATACAAACGAAATAAATAAATGATAAAAAAATAAATAAAATAAAAACTTAGACTCATTAAACATGAAAGCTGTAATGTTATAGATATATACTTTATTAATTCTCTCTGATAAAATAAAATTACAAAATAATTTCAACCTCAAACGGCACTTTCCTTGTTCGTGATTATTTAACGTATTGATAATACATATATTATAATTGTCATGACGAATGAGAAGAATACTATAGTTTAATAAGGTAAGATATCAGCTATAACTGCTTTTAATCATAATGGTAGAAAAGACTAAGCAATACAAAGCTATATTTCGTTAACAGCATACTGTACAATATTCCAAGCGTATGTAATTCAGTATTCCGGCCACAGCGTGTCGCTAAAAGATAGTTTTCAGTATTGTCTTCAATGTAAAGGTAGGCTTGTCTCTTTTCCCATCACGTCATTACAATTCCTCTCAGATATATCTCAGTCTTTCATTTTATTTATTTCATGAACATCTGTTCCTTCATGGCCATTTATCCTTTGTAAGGTTTATTTGTGTTCCCTTGTGTTCATCCTTAGTCCACCTTCATCTGTTACAGCAGTCCATGTACAGCACTGTAACAAGTCCATGCCGAGATTTTCACAGTTATTCCCTCAGAAATATTGTCAAGATATCTGCAACGCCTCCTGCTATCTTTTGTCCCCAGTGACAGCAGCGTTTCCTGCCTCTTATTGAAGTCCATTTAAGAGAGAGCACTTTGGTTGTCGAGGTGTGTGTGTGTGTGTGTGTGTGTGTGTGTGCGTGCGCGTGTCTGTTCCTGTGTCTGTGTGGCAGTTTAAGTGACTGAGCAAGCGAGTTTGAGTGTATTTCTTTACACAGAATACATTCATGATAACAGTGAGCTGTTTTTCGGACCACAAGTTTGACAAAGAATGGCAGTAAAGTACAAGATCTACTTCCCTTTATGAAAGGTCATAAAAAAATCAACTAATAAAAACAACTTAGAATAATACAGCTAAATCACTGCTGGATTTTAACAAGTGCCAATGACAGACAATATTTATAGAGTTGCATGTAGGTCGGTCTGACTTTAGTCAAGTAAAGGATTTTTTAAAATTGTTTTCATTGTTTTCAGTGCAGTTAGGCCCATAATTTGTTGGATAAAGAGACGACTTTTGTGATTTTGCCTCTGTACACCTCCACAGTGAATTTTAAACCAGGTAATCAGGATGTGATTAAAGTGCAGACTTTCAGCTTTGACTCACAGCGCTTTCCTGTTTTTGCATTAACTGTTTAGAAACAGTCCCCCATTTTCATAAAACTAACATGATTTTAAAAGTAAGGAGCGTTCTAAATACTTGAATGAAAATCCTTTGCAGCCTTGGACATCACTGAACGCTGTGTTTCCTCTCTTGAGATGCCAGGCTTTTACTGGAGATGCCTTCAGTTGCTGCTCGTTTGTGTGTCTCTCTGCGTTCAGTTTTTGTCTTCAGTAACTGAAAAGCTGATCAGGTGAATAACTTGGTCATTGACGAATACTCTGTGTCTTTTTGAGTACAGCCCTGTACACTTTACAATTCATCCTGCCACTTCTGTTAATCACGCCATCAGTAAACACTAATGATGGGGTTCCACCAACACTTCTCTCACTGTTTCTGACAGATAATGTGTTATCTTCAAATCAATAGGTGTTTCTCTCTTTCCTTCTCCTTACTTCTTTCTTCCCATAATTCTGCCACAGGCTCATCTTTATTTAAATATTAATTTCTAGATGTTTTTTTAGGTATAGTATAGTATAATCCAACCTACTTGTTCTTAAGTGTAACCACTGGTTTGCAGCTTGTTGTAAACCCTCTGGATTAACAGCTACAAACTTACAGATGTAGACTTTGACAGTGATACACCTACTGTACATCCTGGAGACAGTTTTTTTTGACTCAGTTAGATGCTGTGAAGTTGTTTTTTAGCCATTCTTTCATCATCCATTTCAGTTGTTTTCTGTTGTCTTTCTTTTCAAGAATGGCCACTCAGCAGCTGACACTTATTTTGAATTTTTAAGCCTAATGACGACCTCCCTCACTTGGAATGACCATGAAAAACTATGAAATAGAAATTCCACTCTTTGAATCATGTCATGAAATAACAAGGCAACAGGCCCCACCTAGCTATGAAGCTGCTTGTCAATTGTCAAGATACTTTTGAGCCTCTGAAAATGGGGGGACTGTGTATACAAATGTGGACAATTCTTAAACAGTTAATGCATTTTTTTTGGTAAAACCTTTTAAATTAAAGTTGAAATTCTGCACTTTAATCATAACCTGTTTTATTTCTAATCCACTGTGGTGGCATGGAGAGACAAAAAGACAACAAGTTGTGGACCTAACTGCATCTGCAGTAGATCTTTGGGTCAAAACACCCAAATTTAGTGGCATTAAACGAGTACTCGCACTAAATGTGGAGCATCAAGATTGTGCAAAGAGCCAACTTTAGAGTTCTGCAGGGTTTGTTTTAACGGGTATCATCTTCAGAAATTAATCAACCATTTTTAAATGCCAGTACAAAAAATATGTGTATAATAAGCTAATCTTTCTTCTAATAACCGCCCCAGTATTAATGCACTTAATACAACTATTAATTGTCCACTTTCTGCTGCTGTCATACGAAACGTCCACAGAAATGAAACAAGACCAAAGTCTCATTTCAGCACAGCAAAGTATGCTTTAAACATCAGTTCATTTCAATCTGTAATTCTGTAAATGCAGTAATAAAGTCCTGTAGTAGTTGTGTTAGGTTATTTTACCATCAGCTACTGTCTTCATCATCACAAACAGACATTATGATGACTCACGTCCCTCTGTATCAGCTTGTTTCAGCTTGATCTATAATTTGTGTAGTTCACTGAACGGTTACAATTCTCCCGGCTGAGTAGTTAAAATGTCACAACTACGCATCGTAAGTCTAAACTACTGCATCAGCTCACACCCACAAAAGATAAATTGTTAAGATGAACATTTTTTACAGTGTGTCTACATCGCTTGGCAGTGCTCTATGGAGATTGACAGTGCATCATGTGCTTGGCAGTATTGGCTTTTAGTATCATCTTGTGGGCTAGTGCATTATTTTCTATGTGTGAGCGTAAATAGGGCCTTTGTGAGAGTCTCTATATTTGTGTTTGTGCTGTGTTAGCTCGTATTGCGTGGATGACATGATTTGTGTGTGTACGTGTGTGTGTGTGTGTGTGTGTGGTGCATGCCACTAGTTATCTATTTTTTTATTTTTCATTTTTTTAAATCGTGGTCGTATTGATCGAACCTTTTGTTAAAGGGATGCTCGTTAATACACAATTAGCATTCAGATAGAAAATACATCATAAGGATAAAAAGTCATGGTCATTAATTCCTGATGACGGGAGTGAGGGATTGGGAAGGGGGAAGGAAAGAGAGGGAGAAAGAGAGACGTAGAAGAGAGAGAGATAGAGATAATAAAAGGCATTCTTCAGTAATTGGAGTGGATTCCATTTAGGAGTTCATATAATTATTCTTCGTTATTTCTCCTCCTCTCTCTTTCGTCCTCCTCATTCTCTCTACCTCAATTTCTCACCCTCTTGGCATCCTTCCTCCCCCTCACACCTTATAGAGTCTCCATTTTATCCCCATTTTTCTTCTCCTTCCCTCATCAAGTAAAGCGCCCCAAAGTCCCTAACATGTCTCATCACTCATACAGGCCCTCCATCTTAATCCCATTATTTCCCCTCATAGTCTTCCTCCCTCCCTCTTGGAGCGTTAGTTTCCGAGGATCACCAGACATTTCTCTCATCTCCCATTTCTCTCCTTTAGTCTGAAGTGTGAGGACTAGCGCAGCCCCCGTCCTTCCTCCCTGTTTTTCCTCATATTTGTCCTCTCCTGGTCCAAGAAAAAGAAAAGAAAAGAAAAAAAAGCTGTCCTCAGCAGCTAGAGGTGCACGTGTTGGGGTTGGAGCTAGCCTCCAAGCTCCCCTCTGAGCTCAGGGGTGGGGGCGACAGAGGGGACTCCAACGCCAAAGTAGAAACCGGAGCTGAAGGTGGTGCAGGAGCTGTGACCTGGACTGGAGAAACTGAAGCTGGCGCAGTGGTTAAAGAAGCAGCAGGGGACAGTGGAACCACAGCACCTCCTCCTCCTCCTCCTCCTCTACCATCCCTTGCATCCCTCTCCCGGAGCAGGTGAACCAGGGCAGCATGCTGGGCGCTGAGGGTTGCAGACAGGTGAGCGGGCAAGGCGTTGAAGCCCGCCGTGAGCTGCTCCACCCGCTGCTCCAGGGACAGCATCTGACGCTCCAAGTCCTCGCTGCGGTCGTTGAGCTCGGACATGAGCTCATACATGACACTCTGCATCTATGAAAGAAGAGAGTGGAGAGTGGGAGATGAGTCAGTGCACACGGCGTACTTTGAAGAAGGGAGACAGACTGTAAACACGTAAAAACAGGAAGATAACACAGTCGCTCTACGAAAGCTTGTTTAAAAAAAACAAAAAACATTGGTATTGAATAAGGAGAGACACTAAGTAGAGCAGGGATGTCAAATTCATTTTAGCTGGGTCACATGCGGCCCAGTTTGATCTGAAGTGTGCTGGATGAGTAAAACCACTGCATAAAGGTAAAACAAAGAAAACAGCTTGAAACATTTTCCCTGTCTTTTAGCATAAAAAGTACATTCTGAAAAACTTTAATGAAAAATGAACAGCCTGAGGTGTAAAAATAGGTGAAATTTTAATAATATGCCTCAGTGTTTCCACAACTGACAGCCTGCTGACAATACAAAGAAATCCCACAGTTGTAAATGAAGCACTTCAGCACGGCTTAACCACCTTAGTAAGAAAGCTTTAAAACTGGCCGTTCAGGGCAACGACTCTAACAAACCTGGAGCAGTGACTGTCTGTCTAGACCTACCAATGCAATGCCAAATGAATAATAAACTTTTTAATTGTGATGTTTTTCTGCTGTTTTAACTTTGTGTGTGTTACATATGCCAATACATATACATACACATTTTGTATGCAATTTTCTGTAACTACTGTCTTTGTCTTCACGAGGGTATTTTAAATCCCATCAGCCCTGCCTCCTGTCCCTGCAAATGTTTACACTTAGGTGAGTCAGTTTGTGGACAGACCGCAACTGGTCACCCACGGTTACAGAATAAGGTAAAGTATAAGAAAGAGAAAGACTAAGCACAAATGACAAAAAAAACTAAGAGGGATTAGAAGTTAGAAATCACACTAGACCGGGCTTTATAACACTGTGAAGAAAGAAAAAGAGCGAGAAGAGAGACGATGAAAGGAAGCCAACAGAATGTCCCTGCCTTGCACATCCCTGTCTCTGTAACCATGGTAAATGCACAAGTGGCCAATTGAGACTGAGATTGCAAAATTGCAAAATATTTGGTGCTAAAGGCATCGCTCCTCTGAAAGAACACACACACACACACACACGCGCGCGCACACACATGCACCCTCGTTTAATCTTTGTCTCCTTCTGATTCGAATCTGTATCTCACTCACTCTCCTCTGTTTGCGTCTCTTTTTCACACACACACACACACACACACACACACACACACACGTGCGCTTACATTCTCACTCAAACACCCACACAGTAACAGAAAAAACACGAGCACTCCCTCCTCTCGTTTCCTCCTCACTCTCTCACTCAGTCATCCCTGTTTTAACACTTCTTCTGGTTGCTAGGAGACGCAAAGCCACAGAAACAGGCAGGTCAGCATGGAAACGGAGAAATGCTGTGCAAAATGTTCGGGGGGAGCAAAAGCATGTCAGGTATGAGCGACTAAACTGTATGCAAAAATGAAGAGCACTGATGTGTGCCTCACCTTTGAGAGATCCACTAGTGTGTTGGCCTGATCGCTGAGTTTCCTCTGCTCCATTTTCACGCTGCGTAATCTGCAAACAGATGCACACATAAAACACACATACAGGGTGGAAACCCGGTAAATATGCTGTGGTTGGACCAGAGAGTTAATCCCTCAGGGTTCAGACAACACCACTCTGGAGCGGTCACCTTGCCAAGTTGAGCTTCATTTCTACCTGCAGTGTGTCCCTTGATTTGAATGTACAATAACAGCAAGCACACAGTGTGGACTGAAACATAGTAATCTTGTCATGAAGTAGAGGATACATATATTTGTATATATATAATGAATGCAGGAAAAGAAACATTAAAAGTTAAAAGATAGTTATTATTAAGGAAAACGTCTGGGGCACAAGACCTAGAGGGAAATAAACCAACAGGAAAAAATCTGATAAAAAAAAAATCATTGTACTTCAGTCCAATTAAAAGCCTATTGGACTCTCAAAGCACTATACAATAATTGGAGAACTAACCTGTGTTTTCATAAAACAAACCCTGTGAGGCTGACTTTATGAGACTGCACCCCCAGCTGAGCCCGTCTCCCTGTTATGCTAACAGATTTTAACCACAGAATGTACCCCTATTCCCACCGAGTCAGCCCGGTTGCTGTGTTGACACAGCCAGTCCACAGTCCACATGAATAAGGATTAGCCTTTGAATGTTAGAATTAAAACAGCCTTACATCTCTTGACTCTGGCTTTTGAACTGTCCTGGAGTTGAACCGTTAAAGATCAAAGGATCAGGAAACATTTACGGGATCCTTCATTTAGATGCTGGACGGAGGATATACAAAAATTTTTTTTCTTTATGTGTGTGAATTACACTCTATGCACTTGTAACAGCAGCATCACTTTTTGGGAGAGATGACAGGGTGATCGGAGTGTCTCTAACAGCACACAATGCACTGATTATCCATTCCCACAAGTGTATTTGCCTGGATTGAACCTGCCCTTTCGTAGATGATGAATCACATCATGCGTGTGTGTGTGCGGGGATTAATGCATTTTATCTGATGATCAGCGTCGATTCAACCTGTGGGTGGATAGAAAGTACAGCTGATTTCAAAGGCTTCATCAGCTCAGCAGCGCCGTCATGCGCATGTGCTCGTGTGCACGGGCGTGCTTGCGTGTGCGAGTGTATGTAGTTGTGTGTGAGGTGTGGTCTCACTGATGTATAGCCTGGAGGAACTTCCGCTGGTGTTTGCGGACTCTCGAATGGTCGATCTTCTTCATCAGCTTGGTGTGTTTGTAGATGAGCCAAGTCTCTCTTAGCACGTTAGCAGCTGCATTCTTTATCTGCTCCCAAAAAAGAATAAGCACACATATACACACTTATTGTTAGCAACAGGTGGTCCTTGGCAACTGAAACTGGCAACAGGTTTGCCCAGCCCTCTCGTCTTTCTCTTTTTTCCCCTGGTTTTGCTATTATCTATGCAAAGAAGAAAAAAAAAAAACACTAAACCATCATTCTCTTCTTAGAGGCTGCCCTCGTTCTCTCTGTCTCTTTCTCATGCTCCCTCTCTCTCTACACATACCGGCTTGCCTGCCAATGCTTTTCATGTGTGCATAAACAGCTCTCTCCTTAGGGAGATTGGCAATGAGAACCAACAGGAGTCTCCCCCTCACACACACTTCTCTCTTCTCTTGGTTTGTCTACATGCCACATTATATCTTAGACTTATTCAAATGGGGCTGCATTATCTTGGCTGGCTGAAGTAATTCAGCGCAGCACCATCGCAGTGTATTAAAACCAGTGATCTTCTGTTTAATTATGACAACAACTGAAAGCAACAATCGCTGCACAGTCACTGCACTCAAACTAGCTGTCAAAGGCATTCCCCATCTCTACAGAGGAGGAACATTAGCCTATGTAATGATGCTCAGTTGTGGCGAGCCACTCCAAGACGGTTATTTTTCTTCACTTCATTTGTTTGGACCAGCAGAATGGGAGATTTCTTTGATTTAATAAAATGCCTATTTGAAATGTCAGTTTCTGGTCATTTTCTAAAGATAAACATCAGGATTCTTCTACTTTCTCGCGGCTCCATACTTGTTCCTGTATGTTTCATGTATTTTATAGGTTGCTATGTAATTACAACACAGGGGTCTGACACCCATCGAAAAAAGCGAGGGTGGACACCATAGAGAAGGGAGAGAGAATCTGTAAGGACATAAATTGAATGAGAGACTTCAAAGAGATGCTGAGCATTGAACAAAGAACAATTATACCCCCGTCTGAGGAGCACAAAAGACCCCGGCAGCTTGGCTAATCAGCACCCATCCACCGCAGTCAAGGACTGCTCACTCACATACACGCCTACACATACACACATGCAGACACACACACACACACTATTGGCTACAGATGAAGAGAGTAGGAGGCCGTGGGCCTTGCAGATGTGTTTTCAATAACACAGAGGAAGTCAAACCAAATAGAGCTCATCGAGCGAACTATAGATAATATATAAGGCCCCCGTGATTCAGCAAATTTGACACGTTATCCACCACTTTTAAAGACAGTAAAGATAAAAAAAAATTACCTTTATTCTGCTAATTTAAAAAACACACAACAACAAAACTTACAGTAACCCTACAAAATAAAACACATTTATGTTAAAATTCATGGAATGACATAATTTGAATGTGCAAGCATCACCTTCCAGTGTGCATCAATCGGATTACAGAACTCCAAACCGTGTAGCAAACACAGGCAGTGACAGACCTGCAAAGATCTTAAAGAGTCATCACAACCCTGACATGCTGTTTAATAGGCCTGGGGCTCTAATGTTGTTTATATATAACATGTTTATAGCAGCACTTTTTGAGACACTACATCTAAACTACATTACATTAGATATGCTGCTGAAGGATACATGTCAGATTAATTAGTATTAACTTACTTAGATTATGTTGGAATAAATAGAGTTCATTATTGCTCTCTTTCTCTTTTTTTTTTACAGACACTAAAGAGAACATTCAGTACTGTTTAAAGCTGTGGGCCCTTTGGTAGACTGAAATGCCAGATCTTGTTTATCACATGATTAATGGCTGCAGGGTGAGTGAAAGATGATGATTGATGGCATCTTGTGCCTGGCTGAATGGCAGGCTGCGGAAGTTTTTCCACAGTTTTCAAGCACAGGTCCAGCAGTGCAGAGGGAGTCTTCACCGCTGCATTTTTTTCTTTCTTTTTTGTGTAGATGATTATAAAGCATCCTTTAAATCCTGGAAACAAAAAATTAAATCCAATTGTGTATTTTTTGCAAAGACCCCACCACCACCACCGGCACACTGTATTTAACTGTCTCTCTCCTCCTGTGAATCAATGTAGATATCGATGCAAAGACAGCTACTCCATTAACAAAGCTAACAGACTCAACATGAACCGCTAAGAATACGCCACGAGAAACCAAATGACAGCAGCGGCAGCCATTCCTGGACCATATGGCTTGTACTCGGGCAACCATGTTAGGGCCATCTGGCTGGTTTGGGTCAAAGATCTGTTCTGGCTGCTCCCCTGTGTGGCACACCTTATGGCAGGTACACGCAAAGTCTGTTAACGCATGGGGCTCCCACTTCTCAGCATGCTAGGCAGTTGATGACATGTTGCAGAATATAAATTAATCAGCAGAAATAGAAACATTTTACTGAAATTACTATATATATGTAATCCCAGTTTATAATACATTAAAAACAGAACGTTTACATTTACTAAATAAACATTAACTGAAATACCAAAACTGGGAAAAGAAGGGAAGAAGAGAAATAGACTTTTTTTTTCTCATCAGTTGGAAACAAGATCAGAGGTAAAGCTAAATTGCTAAACCAAGAAAGACTCAACCTTTTTCACCCTGGAGGTCCACATACCAGGATTATAAAGACACAACCACTGCCATTTTCAAAGGTTGCCAAGTGTGGCACTTTCACTTAAAATGAAATCAGCTTCTTATTGCTGCTGTGACTAAAATGGATGTAGAATTGTTGAGAATTTTTAGACCAGGTTCAACACCATTAGTGTCACTGACTTACATAACCTCGCTGGCTATTTTATTAGGTACACCTGTTCAGCTGTTTGTGAACCTATCATTAACGGGAATATCTAGTCACACGGCAGCAGCTCAATATACTCAGGCATGTAGACATGGTCAAGTTGACCTGCTGAAGCTTCAAGCTGTGATTTTAAAATTAGCATGGTTCTTGGTGCCAGATTTGCTGCTAATCTACTCTGATTTTACTACACAACCATCTCTAAAGTTTACAAAGAGTGGCATACAAAAGAGAAAATATCCAGCGAGCAGTAGTTCTCTAGGTGAAAAAGTCTTGGTGATGTCTGAGGTCAGACTGCTTTCAGTAGATAGGAAGGTAAAAATGAGTTTAAAAAGAAAACACAACCAGGGTATGCAGAAGAGCATCTCTGGGCAGCAAACGACCACACCGGTGTCACTTCTGTCAGGTAGGAACAGGAAACTGATGCTAAAATTCCCACACAGGCTCACCAAAATTGGACATAAGATATGAAAAATGTTTCCTGGTTTAATGAGTCTTGCTTTCTGCTGTGACATTCAGATGGTAAGGTTTTAATTTGGTGTAAACGACATAAAAGCATGGAGCCATCCTGGCTTCAGTCAGTGATTCAGACTGGAAGTAGTGGTGTAATGTTGTGGGGGATATTTTCTTGGCACAATTTATGTCCTTTAGTATCAGTTGAACATCATTTAAACACCACAGCCTGCCCAGCTAATGCTGCTGACCATGTCCACCCTTTCATGATCATAGAGTACCCTTCTTCTGATTGCAGCAACTGCGTAAAAAAACCTATCATATCATGTTAGTAATTTATAGTGTTGAGAGATAATACATTCTTTTGCTGGAGATTTTCAAGTCTCACAAATGCAGAAACATTATATATCAAAATTAATTCTAAATGTATTAATTTTGGCCCTACAGTTTTATAGCTGTAGAGTAGAACTGGAGATTTTTACTCAATTGGACATTTAAATAAAAGCCTAGCACTTATAAGGTTAATGACCTGTGCATGTAATTAGTAATTAGACTCTGAGATGCTGGACACACAATGGTGTTTTTCCAGTGATCAGAAAACAAACAGACGAATTGCCTTGGCAACAAACTCATCCATGTGCCACTGTGACACGTGGCCTTACCTGCTCTGACCTTCCCTTCACAGACACACTGACAAAGGGACAAGGAGACACTTAGGCAGACACAAACATGGCCACACACAAGGACAATAATCACTATTTCAGCATCCAAAGCAAAGGAGAGTGATGCCCTTAGGCTCAAGTTAAAGGTGAAACAAATCAATAAAATCACAGAACATTAAATTACAGTTAAAATAATCACTGGATCTTATTAGGAGGCTAACACATTTTCTACATTAGAAGGAAGCTCACGTGCAGGTTCAACTGGCAAAAACTGAAAAAAACCATCAATGAGATATGTAAATGCACTCATGGAGCATTGAATGAATTGTCACCATCACAAAATGACTATAATAATAATGAATAACGATATGCTTATAAATGAAAAGGCTGCTAAAAGTTATTTTTGTTATGTGGAGTGGAAGCTAGCTTAGTGGAAATCTTCGGGGGTTAGACTGCTCCCATTTGGCTACTGGTGTAAACATTGGAAGGCACTGCGGCACCTCCTCCTTGGCCAGAGTCCAGAGTGCACTCTGAATATTCAGACAGGCCGAAGCTCTGAAATGTGCCAGAGGGACTCGTAAAAGTGCCCTGAATTAAGTAGTCGTCCAGTGTAAAAGCAGAATATGCATCCCGAGTGCAAATTTCTAGAAAGATTTTTTTTTCCAGCTTCTAACTTGGAACGAGAGTTTAAAAGCCTGAAAAAAAAAGTAATGACCTCAGATACAGACGGTGTCAGCCACAGTCACACAGTCAACTGGCTTACTGCTTCAATAAAAGAAATTTAACACTGGAATTTGACATCGTAGCGCCATCAAAAGGAAGGAGATGTTAGCCCACTGACTTAGCGCCTGAGCAAGCATGTCCTGCTTTTCTCGGTGTTGAGTGAGCTCTCTGAAAGTTGAGGATGAAATTTTGACCAAATGGGCTTCAAGCAGTGCTCTGAATCAACCAGTGCTTCAGTACATAGCCACAAAAAACAGCAGCAACAAACCAAGAATCGAGAAGAAAAAACAGTCCTGGCATCAAACAACAACAAATCACACCTCACACACACACGGTAGTCAACTTAAGGACTAGGTTAAATGCTATTTAATTAACATTTGCATTAATCCTATCAGAGGGAGAGACTTCACTGAGCACTGCATGAAAATTGACTCGGTGCATCAGTCTTTGGAAGGAAATCATTCTCCCCGATAAGGTTATTAGGCCCTCCACACGCAATGTGCACTGCACAGGGGTTCAAAATATCAACTTCAGTCTTGACATTGCTCTGCATAAAAAACTGATCGAGGATGAAAGCAGCAAATATTCATCAATCATGAAAATAGAAAGGATTTTAAAAAATTGTCAAAAAGTGTCAAAATCATAAGGAAAAGTTACAGCTAGATTTTTGGGCTCAGATTTTCATGCTGGTGATGAACCACACCCTATTCTTTACACAACATTACAAAATTACATTAGATTGCACAACACCTCGTTCAGATCAGCTAAGAGCGTCTCTCTGGCATTTAATTGACATTCTTGTTAATCCTTCAAAGGGAAGTAGACAGCATTGCAGTGAGTTAGAAAGACAGACTGTGTGCTTTCCTGTCTGTTTGTGTGTGTGCGCACATATGATGATGGCAAGATGTTGAAGCTATTGTTGCATTATTTATTATAAAGCTTTGACTGATTGTATTCTCTTGGTACAAAGATGTGGCAAAGAATGGCCCCGGCTATGTAAATCAATGTGCACACAACAGCTTCAATCATTGGTCTCTCAGTGATAGAGGGCAGGAGACAATTACCGCAGCATAAACCGTAGACCCTTTGAAGGGAAATGTCACCAAGCAGCATGCTGCATATTGCTCTAGGAGGCCTCCGTTACTTGATGAGCGGGTTTATTAAGATCATGAATTACCTGTATTGATGATTGCATTTGCTTTAAAATATGAATATAATCTTTTTGCTTGAGGGGCTAATAAAATTGATCAGTGTAACAAAAAATACAATACGTTTTTTAGCTACCAGTTAAAAATTTGGGATTTGATGTGACTTTCCTCAACCTTTAAACCTTAAGGTACACATGTACCGCAGCAGGTACTTTTGTAATTACCAGGGGATTGTGAAAAAATTGTAGGTTAGCTGAATAAACGATAAAAATTCATTTGATTATAGTATTTAGCACATTTACGGTCACAATTACCAGCTACACAAACCACACAGCCTCCACATAACCTGATCTGCATCGAGTTTAGCAGAAAAGCTGAAAAGGCTAAAAAACTAATGGAAAAATGATTGATATGTACACTGTCTGCCACTTGAAGAGGTGAAGATAAATTTGCATTTCAATGAGGAGTATGAATGCAAATTAAGGTAACCTGCTGAAACAAGAATCTTTAGGCCTGCTAGCAGCACGGTGAAGCTGTGCTTTGAGCTAAATGCTAAACCGATCATGCTAATATGATCAGGCTACACCGTTTCACCAGGCTGTTAGCAGGCCCAAAAACTCACATTCACTGTACTAACAAAGAAACTTTTGAACATTAAAACAAAAGCCAAGTTTCTACAGGCAAGGTGGTAAAACACTTAGCAAAACTTCTAACGTTAGCTCAAAGCACTGAGTACTGCTGCAAAATTTAAATAGCTATTAATTTGATAATTAAAGCCCAATCACACTGGTCGCTAGGGAAAAAGATATATACCCGACTGTTTGGGAGTGATTGCTGGAGGTTGGTGGCAGTCGCTGTGAATTGCTAAGCCCTCTATTCACACAGGCCATGAGACCAGTCAGTGAGCCCGTGGTAATCATGGGTTACTAGAGAAATTACTAGAGAATTTGCAAGTTGCTTCTGTTGCTAAGAGAAATTGGTTGCAAAGAGGTATATGGTGTTGCATCGAAAACCCTCTTACGATTGCTTTGGTCACTAGCAGGTTGCCGTGATCGCTTGTTGTTTACATGGAAAATGGTAACTTGTCTGCAGACACTCAAAAACTATATGCCACGTTAGGGAAAAAAAAATGCAACATAAACCATAAACAGAGAGCAACACTTGTGCCTTTTAAAACGTTTTGACTGTTGCAGTAAGGCCTGTATAGTTTTTACTTTGAAGCGAACGCTCCCTGTTTTGGGTTTGCTTTGCACTTCAAACAATGTCACCACCAATCGGCGAGTAGTTGGCGACAGACTGTGGACAAATTTGTGCCTTCCATGAAAACAACGGGCAACCATTACAACATGCTGGCAACCAAAGAGATCACAAGATTTTGGGTTTACCATTCTGTATACAACTGCTTTCACTTAGTGAAAATGTTGGAAACTGGTCAGGGAATACAGATTTTACCCTAGTGACAACAGATTTTAGGGGAGCTGCTGGCTGATTTCTAGACCAGTGTGACTGAGACCTTATTAAACTAAAATGAAAGCCACATGATTTGAAGGTCTTAAATAATCAGGCCCCATCTTATCTTAATGACCTTGTAGTACCATATCACCCTATTAGAGCACTTCGCTCTCGCTCTGCAGGCCTACTTGTTGTTCCTAGAGTATTTAAAAGTAGAATGGGAGGGAGAGCCTTCAGTTTTCAGGCCCCTCTTCTGTGGAACCAGCTTCCAGTTTGGATTCGGGAGACAGACACTATCTCTACTTTTAAGATCAGGCTTAAAACTTTCCTTTTTGCTAAAGCATATAGTTAGGGCTGGACCAGGTGACCCTGAATCCTCCCTTAGTTATGCTGCAATAGACGTAGGCTGCCGGGGGATTCCCATGATGCATTGAGTTTTTCCTTTCCAGTCACCTTTCTCACTCACTATGTATTAATAGACCTCTCTGCATTGAATCATATCTGTTATTAACCTCTGTCTCTCTTCCACAGCATGTCTTTTATCCTGTCTTCCTTCTCTCACCCCAACCGGTCACAGAAGATGGCCACCCCTCCCTGAGCCTGGTTCTGCCGGAGGTTTCTTCCTGTTAAAAGGGAGTTTTTCCTTCCCACTGTCGCCAAAGTGCTTGCTCATAGGGGGTCATATGATTGTTGGGTTTTTCTCTGTATCTATGAAGCGCCTTGAGGCGACTTTTGTTGTGATTTGGCGCTATATAAATAAAATTGAATTGAATTGAAAAATGACACCAATGTGGTCAAAAAACTGCAAATCTTTGGATGCTCAATTGAGATTAGCTGCAAAAGCAAGTCTATCTCCAAAGACTCGTGAGGTAAAATGCCTGGCTTTAAAGCAGAGATATATTTAGCTTGGAATCTTTGGTCTCTATAGCAAATTTTACTATTTATGAAAGCAAAAACAAAAAAACAGAAAACAAACCAAAAACTTCACAACTGACAATGTTGGTTGGGAAAAAAATTGGTTCGCTTGAAAAAAAAAAACCCAAGGTAAAAATCAGTTTTCTTTTACACAAAGCAAGTGTGTAACAGCATTTTCTGTCATTTTCTCGTTGTGAAATTTGAAATGCTCATGGCAGCCAAACATTGTTCAAGAAGCAGAAGAAGAGATTTAATTCAGTGTATCAACAATCATTTACAAAAGGCAGACTGGAGGCTTGAATACAGCTGCCAACTAAACAATTCATGGTCACGTGGGCAACATCCATCTTTAAACTAAAAAGGCAGGAAGCCAAAAGATCTCAAACTGATACGTCACATGCAAAAATCAGGGGGTTACCAAACTCACGGAGTCATCCTCTAAGGAATATATGCCTAAAATTCAAGGCAAGCCTTTGAATTATGTTAGGATATTTCAGCCCGGACCAAATAACAGACAACTAAATGATGCAAAATGAATATGTTGTATAATAACAAAGGTAGTTAAATCTTATTTTCAATAATAAACTGTTAATTTCAGATTCAGTTTGCAAAAAATCGCCGCCCTTGCAAACACCTGTGGAGCACATGGTTAAGGATGGTAAACATCTTGTGAAAACAGACCTGGCCAAAGACCGCAGGAACATGAAGAGAGAGCCTGGCTACAACTGACACACAGAGTCTATTTGGTTTCTTTGTCGATATCTTATCCACGCTCAAATTATTGATCACCCCACTCCGTTCAGTCACCCAGATAACCCTGCTGCCATCATGCACCCTACATATTTGATATGGGAGCTATTTTTAAAACTTGGGTCTTTCAACTGTATGAAAAATTGAAAAGGACCAGAGGAGGGAGGGAGGGAGTTGCGAGAGATGGGGTGTGGGGGAACGGAGGCTGGGAGGGGGCAAAAGAAGAAGGAGAAAGCAGTGGAGGAAGGAGAGAAGCAAATGTGACACACAGAGAGAGAAAAGGATTTACTGTAAGAGAGACAAATGTCAAAGGAGAGGGGAGGTGTGGGAGGGAAAAGATCGGCGATGGAAAGAAAAAGAGAGCGGCGGTAAGTGAGGGAGCGGAACAGAGAGAGTGAGACAGAGATGACCTTTTATTGCCTTCGCTCACTCAAATAACATGGCACTCTGTCACAACAATACAGGGTGTAATGTGCTAGTTGGGGAGGGTGACGCAGTAGCAGTGAAAGAACAATCCTTTTAGCCGGGCTCTCGACGCCAAAGAAATTCTACAGTGTAAAATCACCTGCACTGCACATAAAAACCGCACTTTTACAAATGACAGCTGCAGGGAGAACGAGTGCTCTTTACACTCTGTGCTTTTGCTTTATTGCTGCTACAGACGACACACTCATTCACACGCACGCACTCACTGACATCGAGCATGCCTACACACCCTCTTGGTGAGTTGCGTGTCCATCATGAAGTTGTGTACATGCTTTTCGGCCTTGGTCAGCTCCAACTTCCTGGCTACCACGGCAACCACCAGAGCCGTACAGCCTGCACCCTATGAGAGACAAGAGGGGAGGGAGGGAGGAGGACAGAGTCAGCCAGTACAGAGGTGGAATTGGTAAATCTGTGGTTTTTGGACAGGGAATTAGTTCAGATGATTGAAGGGAGCAAGGACAAATATGAAGATGACAGAAGGAGAAGTGAATGGGAGAGAGGAGAGGATTAGGAGGAATAGCTCTGTTCCAGATCCACATTTCCTCATTTTGAGAGGCAAGCCAAATCTATTTTCACCTCCAATCCATCTGGTGTGAGATGCCTTCTATATCGGCTCTATAGGACGCTGAAATTGTGCCCCTTAAAGATAAAACCAGAAAAAAAAATATCACCGATTGACACCAACTAATTTAATTTAATTGGATGTTGTCAATCCGAATTACGTGGTGTCAGTCTTCTCCTGTCACTGGTGGCTTGAGGCCTGCAGGATGTGTAAAAGTGTAAAACAGCACTAGTTTGTCTGTATCCCAGCTCAACCCACGTGGGACTCACGGCAAATTCATTTGGGAGAGAATGACAGCAGTCTCTCAACCAAAAAAGACATGCTTGAGAGGAGAAGAGGAGCAGGAACACAGGGAAGAAGACAGACTTAATTAACTTTTAGATTAGACACTGTATTCAATGGGGCTGTTGAGTGCTCACAGGTTCCTCTGAAGGGGCAGGCACCGAGAGGGAAAAAAGAAGAGAGAGGGGAAGAAAAGATAAAGAAAGTGAAGAGCAATGAGTAAATATAAATGGGGAAGTGAAGACACATGGGCGGATGAATATATGAGGCGAGGGTGTGTGCACGGAATAGGAGGAGAGAAAGATGGAGAAGAAGGCAATGTTAATGAGGTCACATATCTCCTGATAAGTAATGAATTAAGATTAAGAGTGTTTAATGAAAATGTATGAGTGCCTTCCTTCCTGCTTGTAAGTGTGCGAAGCTCACAGTTGGCAGAGGATAGGAGTGACAGAATAAAGAGATATAAGGAGAGAAACATAGTGACTTAGAGCAACAGCGAGGGCGCACGCAACATTTTGAAGCGTGCAGGAAATAGCCGGGACTTCATCATGCACACTCCTGAACGACAAGACAGGTTTGCCAAAAATAACCTTGGCTGGGTTCAGTGAAATGTAATGCACAAACAGGCCTTAGTGCCCACATCTATACACTCATCCACTCTATTTGTGTTTATTCAAAAACTATGAATAAAATATGATGAGAGCCAATGGAAACCCCTTAGAGCATTTGTACATGGTTGCGCTTTAGGGAACAGAGCCCTCAGCTAACAAACAGCACAAAATGCAGCGCAGTGTGCACGTGTTCACAAATGACCTCCTTGGTCAGAAACAGCGGGGCACTGATTGGTTTGTCGGGGCAGCCTTTGTGTGTGTGTATGTGGAAGCATGTGTTGACAAAGTGGCTGTATATGTGTGTATGTGTCAATTTGTTTGCACATGCACATGCACATGCATCTGCATCTATTTGCTTCCAGCAGCGCTCCCTGTGAAATGTCCATGCAGTGACACGACTGATGACGGCTGTGCTGCTGTGATTTCTTCCATTTACCAGGGTGTTCCCCTTGTTTTCTTCAGTACAGCACAGCTGTCTACCCACTCAGAAAAGGGGGAATCACCCATCTGTGCCTTTGTGTAACACCTACGCGGTCCAGGTAAAAAGTGAATGCAAACAGCAGTGGAAAATTGTTTCCAAAACCAGTCAGTGGGAACATGCAGAGGGAGGAAAAAATACGGTTGAAAAAAAACCCAAAAAAACATTTAATATGCTCAATTAGTGTTCAAAATGCAAGCACTTAGAACAGAAAAGCCACAAAAAGGTTAAAAATGATAGCTTGTCTGCATCTGTTTAACCTGCAAGCTATCCACAACTGCAGTATGACTGCAGTTAAGAAGCTCTAGGAAATAAAAATAATTATGCACAGTCATATGGTAAAACTTAAATGTAACACCTACATTTAGGATTAATCTACATGTTAAAAAATATTGGAAATATAGCCCACTGTAATGTAGGACATTTTAAAGGAGACCTCTTGCACCTGAATTTATACTATACATCATGCAATCACAATAAATGAATATTGTTTTTATGATTTATTTTTCCAGCACCATATATATTTTTAAGGTCTCTTTTCTTGATTTATAGTTCAAAAATGCCTTATTTATCTCATATTGGCTCTTGATGTAGCCCCCCTGATATCTACTGAAAACATGCAATCTCTGTAAAGAGCCATTTCTGAAAGCCTGCCTTCTTCTGATTGTCTCTCGAATTGTTTCTGCAGCACAATGATTCTTATGGGCACTGCAGTTTCCTGTAACCAGTGTGGATGTTCTTGAAAGAAATTGTAAATCTTCTACAAAACATAATTTCTTGATCTCTAGTGGAAATGTTTTAAATGCACCTCCACCTGTTTGAGTCAGAGATTAATCTGAAGACTGGACTCAAGGAACAAAAGCTTTGACTGACAGACGGTTGCCAATACAGACACCTCTAGCGTAAGCTATGTGCTAAGCTTTGCCACTGCTAATCTGATTTAGCTGAACTGCTTGTGGGTTAAAGCATTTTTAATGCACGTATCCATAAAATAATACGGCTTGTGTGGCTAACCAACATTCCAAAGCATACATCCAAATCAACAAAAGAATGGCTTCAATAGAAGATTATGGTTATACAATGGCAGAGCCCAAACCAATATCCAATTAAATATCTGCCCAGATGAGCTGATGAGGGGTGCGCACAGGAGATGCCTTTGTAATCTGACAGATTTGAAGCACTTTTGCACCTCAAGTTGTGCCAAGTATATTGCCAATTATTGTCAAGTCATGATGTGCCATACTTTCAGACTCCTACCCAAAAAGAACAAATATAAGCCATTCATACAAGCAGTTATTAGCTTGTTGTACATAAATTTGTCGCAGACAGTTGTTCATAAGTGGCGATTCTAGGCTCCGGTTGCCAGTCTGTCAAATGTTGATCGACAGTATCCTTTGCTCTCGTTGATAGCTGCTTCAGTCAGTCACCTTGACTGAGAAGCTGAGAAAAGTTCAACTCGGGACTCACACGTTCTCACTTGACGTCACTTAATCTCATTGACTTCAGTTGATATCTGGTCAGCATCTTACTGAAAATTGCTTCCTTTGTAGATTACCTTTCATTTAAATGTGTATATATTTATATTTATATATATATATGAAAAGAGGTTATTATTAGAAAATATTATTATTTCCCCACTACATGATTTCAGTTTGTTTTACAATTGGATTGAATGCCAAGGTTTTGCACCACAAAAACCTGGCATGTAAACATAGACTTTTGGAATCCACTGTATTATTTCACAGTAAAAATAGGTAAAGCATACGCACATTCAATTTTTATTCATGCATACAGTAGTGCTCTCCAACAACACGTCCTTGAATAATAAAATGTCATATAACTACAGCTGTGTCTTACTATACTGCCATTCATTTATTTGTTTATAGACCAAGCCCTACTTCTCAGTGCAGTTTAATAAACACTTAATAATCACTTCATGTTGTACACACTACCTGTGTACAACATGAAGTGCAGTATCACATATGCTGTACACAACATTTGTGGTATAGTGCACCTAACCTCCATCTTGCTATCCACCCACACACAACAACACACGACCACACACAAATACACACTAACACCTGGCACACCCCCAGGTAGCCTCAGGGCAGTGGTATATTCCAACACCGTTGGCCTTCATGTGTTGTCATAGTAACAACAGTGAGAATTTCTCATTACAGTAGTTTTAGGCAGTCAAACC